ATGCAACAGCAAAGGCAATAAACAGTTTGATTTCCTTTTCAATAAATTAAGAAACCTCTTAGACTATTCTAACAAGCACCATGTCTGAAGTTGACTTGTTTCTGGGCTGCTGCTTTTTCAAAGTTTTGTTTTTGTTTTGTTTTTTGTTTCTAGCAGTTATTTTTTCTTTTGTATTCCCCTCTTGTTTCTCTGTGCATTCATTCACTACAACTGCTTCCTTCTTCCTCCCAGGGAAGGCAGACTGTTCCCTGTCAAACTATCATCCTATTGCACTTCATAAAGCAGATGAATGTCCCAACCAACCCCCACACTATCCTTTTTAAAAAAATAATTTTAAAAAATATTTTTAAAATGTGAAACAAATATTTCTTTAAAGAATACTTTTTTAAAAATAAACATGGATACTAAATGAATAATATTTTCACTGCAAGATGTTAATAGACATAATTTTACGTATCGTGAGTCTTGATGAGACGAATATCCACTGTGTCAGTATCAGAGCAAAGAGCCACAGAAGTCCCGCATGTTCACACAGTGTTAGGAGAGAGATAGAGGATTATCACAACAGCATGCATGACTCTCTACATCAGCACAGCCAGCCCCGTTGTAATCAGAAGGATCAGTATGTTATTCAGGTATGAGTGGGGGAAATAGAATATTTAATCATTATTATAATACATTTGGGTGATCTATTCGGGTTGGTTAATTTTGTTGACTGTGTTTTTGATCTCTCTAGTGACTAGTATTAACGCTACGGAAAGATCTAGAGATGGAGAGATAGAGGAAGAGAAAGAGAGGGAGAGTACCTGACAGGACTATTCTCTGCGGGCTCTCTTCCTCTACTCGAGCCTCCTCCTGGGCTTCCAACATCCGATGCCGTAACACGGCACTCCGAACGTTCACGTAGGGCTCAAAGAACGGGTGGTCCTCCTCCTCCCCCTCCCGCCGCGACAGGAACGCCTCCCCCACACCCCTCAGGTCCTCGTGGCTCTTGTAGCCTCTGTACCACGACCTCTGGCCTTCGCCGTAGCCCTCAGACGGCTGGATGATGAAGGAATCCTGCGCCATAAAACTCTGGTGCTGAGACTGGTGCTGTGGCTGACGCTGAGACTTGTGCTGAGACTGGTGCTGAGACTGCGGCTGTGGCTGAGTCTGATGATGAGACTGGTGCTGAGAATGTGGCTGTGGCTGAGACTGTAGCTGAGAATGTGGCTGTGAGTATCTGGTGGTCGCCCGGCGCAAGGAGTCGGTGCCGGAGAGCGAGGACGGGGGCCTGAAGGCCGAGCCTCTCTCGTACAGGTCCTCCGGCTCGTCGGGAATGCGGTGGTACGACCCCATGGGAGGCGAGGTCTTGCCCACTTTGTCCAGCTCGTCCTGCGACTTGTAGGCGCGGTGCCGAGGGGACAGCTTCGGCCTGGCTTCCGGCCTGTAAGCCACCTGGTGGCGTCTAGGTGTGGACATTGTGCCGGAGGGAAAGGGCTCGCGGTATCTGGCCTCAAAGTCCTCAAACTGACCAAAATCGCCTGTTTCAGAGAGCCCTAGATCGCATGCAAGTGACGGTAGGTTTAGATTATGTCAAAGAATTATAATATTCAGTCGAATAAGGAGAGGAAAGTAGAGTCGTAAGGCTGTGTTCATCTACTATTGTCCAGACCTAGTAGATTAATAGCTATCTATATCTTTTCATGTGGCAATAATATGGCAAAGATGAGGGGAAATCGGAGGCATCACGCATGGTCTTCTCAAAACAAATATCGTCCGGCCTATTCTAGGAAACAGAAACACTGATCAGATCAAAATCAACTGGATGTTTTCCGTTGTTTAATTTTTCCAGATTTTAAAAGTCTTTCTTTCTTTCCTTACTTTGGGGGAGGGGGGGGGGTCCTATTCTATCAAATAATATTCAAATCAAAAGCCAGAGAGGAGGTGTAAGTACGCCGTATTTTTGTTAAACAGTAATACTGCCTGGCTCATCATATTTTATTGAAACTATAGTACACGTATTACTCGCGTCGTTGAAGAGGGGAAAGTTCACATTTCCTCCAGGTTTTCTTCTAACATTGTCAAGGCTTACACAGCAGAACAGACTTCAATTTCATTTTCCACTCAGATCTGGTGGCAAAATGAAACGATAAAAACTTCTTCGAAAACTGTAATTTAATTCATATATTAAATGTTTCACTGAGGAAAAAACAGTAAGAACTGCAAAATGGCCGTTCATGTCGCAGTTATTTTAGACTTTCTTAATCTTACTTTTTTTAACGTAGTGTTTACCGGAAAGCTGAACGTATAGAATAGAGCAACTCTTTTATATGACATTTGGAAAAAATAAAAAAGATATAAGAAATTTGCGTCAACCGAAGTGAAATATTATCGCGTTTTGCAGATTGCTAAAAAATAAAAATAAAAAAAGCAACTCATTTTAACCTATGCAACTTTGAAAAAGCGAGGTAAGAAACAATTTTGAGGAAAGTACGTAGGGGAAAGGGGGGGGGGCAAGAGAATATATCTGAGCTACAGAAAAGCATATGAACATACTATATAAACAAGTATGAGGTCACATCCACAAGGACTATTTCACTACTTCTTTCATCATTTCTTAGTCACAGATGACAAATAGCTGGTAAAGGGATTATAATAATATAGGCATTAATAAAGTTATACATAATTCAGCAGTTCAGTATCTGAAGAATTTGTTTGAATTATTAATCGTAACAATTTTGAGTACAGCATAAGGTTAAATCAGCGATCAGCATGCATAACGTGTCAGCCTATAATGCTTTCGAGAGAATGCGTCATCTCCCAACACCCAGTGCACACTGCCTATTAGATTCATCGGACCAAGTCATAGCCAGCTATATTTTCCTTTACGGATGGGGCACAAATTACCACTTTGGCAAAACACAATCCAATTCAATTGAATTCGACTGTGACATTCAGAATCAAATGCATTTATTTCTTAAGATCGCGAGTCGAATCAGTCGTATTGTGCCACCCCAAGTGGACAATCTTTCTGGCCCCAACTCAAACCCAATGAATCCGACTGACAGTGTGCACTGGGCATAAAAAGTCCTTCACAGAAAGCTACTGTCCCCACCAAGTTTTTGTCATTACACGCCAGAACACCCCGGAGACCTCATGCAGGTAATGCTGACGTAGTGATTATGGCCAATGATCATGCGTAGTAAGTACAAGCTTCCAGACAGGCATTAGTAGTACTGCTGATACCCATAAGGTGAAAAAGTCGTCTTTAATCTAAGGATTTACCCACCCCGTTTGTATGTTAGTTTGTTTGTCTGTTTGTTTGTTTGTTTGTTTGTTTGTTTGATTGTTTGAACCAGAAAAAAGAAGCATAATGACACAATGACGGTCCTTTAGTACAGGAAAGAAGCAAGACTAACAGACAGACATATCAGACTGAGGGGAAAAAAAGAAATAGGATCCACCGGTGGTATCCTCATACTATCCATTTAGAGAACATGGACTGAGTATTACCTGAAGCTATCTTTACTCTCTCTTGTGCAATTTTACAAAAAGAACAGAACGGACTTATACCAGAAGAGTACTAGATCTACCTTCACTATCTCAAACACAGTCTTTGTCACATGATAAGACATACAACATGTCTCTTTCGCAACACTAAAAATCAAAAGCAACTATTCCAGAGAACGCTAGATCTATTTCTACTTCTTCTCAAACAGAAGAAAAAAAAGGCTGGTGTACATCGAATGGTCTGAACCTGTTCTTCCTAGGAAATCTGGGAGAAGCTAGCTAAAAATGTTTAAAAATCTAATTGAGTCTAACATTTATCTACAGAATAGAAGTTTGAGGCTGACACGATTCTGCACTTCAACGAAATCAGATTTTAAAATTGTAAGGTTTCTTCCCCACCTCACGCCCCCAAATCCACTTTTTTCACCCTCACCTTTGCAGAGTGGGTTTTCTAACCCATCCAGAATGCAACAGACCTCACCGCACCAGAGAGTGAGCTGAGCAGGGGTTTAATACTGGGTGCTGGGTGCCCATTGGCTTCATCAGTTCCGTTCAAATTTCTCCGTTTGGGGCAAGTCGGAGGTCCGGAAAAACCCACAAAACCAACGACGACCTTCAATAACAAAAGCGTTTGTTTTCAAGGCCGTGCGTCGGGCTATCTATCCGGGCAGATAGTCTATTTATAGTATGTACTGAAGTCGCCAGAAACAGAATTGAACAGAATCAAACCGATCCTCCAACGGGCATCGCCTGTAAAAGATGTCAGGATTATAACCCCTCTCCCTCTCCTACCCTTTTTCAGCCACAAAGAGATCAGGATAACTGTAACACTGAAAAGAAGTAAATGGGGCAGAGCACATCGACGATTCTCTCAGCCACCATCAAAGTCTGATTCTGAACTTCAACGAAATCAGATTTTAAAATTGTAAGGTTTCTTCCCCACCTCACGCCCCCAAATCCACTTTTTTCCACTCATCGCAAAGACATCATGGACAAAATATGCAAGCTAGGAAATATTTCACGGACAAAAAGATGACAAGGGTGAGAACTGCCACCAACAACAGTAAAGGCTGAGGGAAACCACTGAGAGTTGCCACTGACAGTTTCTCCATGTGGAACAAGTAACAACCATAGACATATACATACAGTAATGTCCTAGACTGCGCACTCTGATGTATTATGGAGCACACCTTTTGACTCAATATGGAGCTAAATGAAGAGCAATTTTGGAGGGGGAGGGGGGTGCCACTCTAACTCGACATAAGTGAGACTGGAGTTTTGCAATTCATTTGAGCTGTTTCCAAGCCAAGTTTTTTTCACAGAAGAAACACTGGAAGCCATGACAGTACATGGTCTAGGACATTACTACTTGAGTCTATGGTCACAACTGATACAAGTTACTAACGAATTGCTGTGGGAGAAAAAAGAAACTGCTGTGGGTGAAAAAACAAGCAAAGCTTCAGTCAAGCGAAAAGGTGCACATACCAATTTAAGCGACCCACACTTACCTTTATCAGGAGCCATCCGCAAACTATGCACGCGCTCGTAAGCCACTCTCAATTTCTGTGCCTCCGGGTCCATCATGTCGCGGGTGAAGGAGTCTGGTGGGGACTGGGGGCTGTCCTTTCGGTCCCCGCCACGAGACGACTGGCTAGCCCGACTGGCAGACGACAGTCTGGAATTGGGCAGGTCACGTCTGTGGTCCTTGGGAGAATCCTGGTACGGTGGATTGCGGAGGGAAGCGTTGTCGGCTTGGTCCATCCCTTGTGGAATTCTGTTGCCGTACTGATCCTGGGGAAAGAAAATGGAATCATTAAATTTGACTCTAATCGGTTATGCGATATTGGACACACATGGCCTGCACAGGTTCAATGCTAAGAGCCAGAGTGAGAAACAGGGGACTTCATTGCAGCAGGAAGGAGGAGGAAAAGGGGGAAAGAGGAGGAAGAAGAAGAGGAATGGAAAGAGAAGAAGAAGAAGAAGAAGAAGAAAAAGAAGAAGAAGAAGAAGAAGAAGAAGAAGAAGAAGAAGAAGAAGAAGAAGAAAAAACGAAGAAGAAGACGAAAGAGAATAACAAGAAGAAGAAGACGAAAGAGAATAACAAGAAGAGCAAAGAACAAGTGAATGAACAAAGACAAGAAGAGCAAGAACAAGAAAACAAGAGGATGAAAAAAAGAAGAAGTAAGAGAAAAAGCCATGTGATGAGACTTACCCGAGGTGACGGGTACTGGAAGTAAGAGGGCTGCTGCATGCGCTGAGCGTTCATCTGTGTCGCGATGAGCAGGTCTCTCTGAGCCGTTGGCGGCTTATTCTGGGCCATCTCCTCCACCAGCTGCTGGCGAACTGCCACGGGATACGGAGGTCGGCCAGGGGAGGGGTCACCGGACGAGTCATGGGACGTGTTGTGACCTTGACCTTGCTGCTGGGGATACTGCTGACCTTGGTCCCGGCTAGGAAAGTTGACGTAGGTGTGCGGGTTGCTGTGATGTCCTGACTGCGGTGGGGTGTGCGACGACGACATCTGAGAGGCGTTGAGGTCTAGCGGGAGATGGGGCACCTGTTGTTGCGGAGGGGGATACGCAGAATCCTGTTGCCCCGCCCTCTGAGGTGCAAAATGTTGCTGCCTCGAGTCATGGTGCTGCTGCGGAAACCCTGAATACATGGGATTTGACGATGATCTTGACATTGGTGATGCTGCTTCTTGGTGGGAAGGGGGTCCGGCCGGGTGGCTACTGCTCGACGGAGAGTGTCCATAACCTTCTCTCCCACCGACGGACGAGGACGCAGACGCATAAGACCGCCGGTCCTGCTGGGGGTGACCATGACCTTGTGGATACTGGCCCGACCCATATGGCTGATGATGAGAGCTATTCCTGTCGTTCAGGTCATGGGGTGATGGGTAGCCACCTGGGCCTCTTGCGTCTAGACGTGGAGCAGAAGAGTACTGGAAGTCCTCTCGTCTCGGCTGGCGATTATGCTGCTGTAGAGGTGCAGCCCCATGCCCCGGGCTGTACTGGTTCGAACTTCGCTGAGAACCAGCGGGGGAACCAGGATGGCGGTTTTCCTTTGCCCAACTTTGCCGTCCTCCAGGCGGGGGGAACTGTCCATCGCCTTGTGGCATCTGGCCGTACCCGTCTCTCTCTGTATTCCCTGCTTGAGGATGTTGCTGTCTTTGTTGTTGTTGTTCTTGCTGCTGCTGTGAGTCGGGGAAGTGTGAGAAATTCTCGTGCGACTTACTCCTCGCATTGAACGTTCTGTCTTTCCCGGGCTGACGACCCCTTTGGTTGTCTGCCAGATCAATGAATGAGCGATGCTTCATCTGATCAAGGACATTTGGGGGGAAGTTCTTGTCCCATGGGTTCAACTGCTTCGGGGAACCGTCCTGATAATCAGAATAAGAATCTCTGTTTGGATCACCCCTTGACGTGTCTGGGCCTGGATACCTATCCGCAGGTGGATGTCCCAACCGTTGCTGTATCCGCTCCCTCTCCACTTGGGCCGGATGGTATGAGTGCTGTCCGCCCCGGCTGCTGTCTGATGGGGCAAAGCTGTTGCGAGCCGAATCTGGAGCAAAACCGTCCCTCAGAGGAGGCTGCTGGTGGTGCTGCCTATGCTGAGGGTTCTGCGGATCTCTGTAGTCTTTCAGTCCAGCATTCGAACCATAACCCTCGGGATCATAGCCAGAGTTAGCCCCGTGGTGACCCGGGGGACCATGACCGTTATTTTGGGATTGAGGCTGGTACGCGTTGAGAGAGTGGGGCTGAAAGGAATCTGGTGAGTAATCTTGATTACTAGAAGGAGACGGGTAAGCCTGGGAGCCTCTCTGCGAAGCATTGGCCATAGAATTCCGGGCGGAACCTCCCGGATTACTGGCAACGCTCCGTCGCTGCGGATCAACAGGCCCACCACCACTGTACCCAGGGTTTCCGTAGCCACGAGAGAAATCATTGGGCCCTTCTAAAGGACTGGCGGCAGGATCCCCATACCCCTGGTAGCTCGGTGACTGGGTTGCATGAGGCTGCTGGCCGCCACGCGGAATGTTCCCGTTTCTGTCGCTGCCAGGAGGGGGCCCTTCACGGCCGGGGGGATTCGGCCCCATAGAACTTCTTGGATGTTCTCCTCCGTACGAGGCTGGACCCCCAGTATTGGAGAACTGAGGGCCGCCAGCCATTCTACTGTCGTCTCTGCCTTTTATAAATGGAGGCCGCTGGTTGTTGTTTGGCTCTCGCAGGAACCTGGCAGGGGAATCATAAAATTTAGAATTGTAAATGTCACTTCAAAGCAGTTACCTTTGTCTGATCTGTTGTGTTCCGGGGAAGCCGAGAATGTTTCTGAGTGTTCTAGGGTCTGCTTGGGGGATAATCTTGTTTGTGAAGAGCATAGAGAATGCTACCGAGCGGGGATATTCACTATACAGATGCTTTTTATTATTTTGATGATGATGATGATGATGATGATAATGATGATGAGAATGTTGATGATTATTATTTTTATTATTATTATTATCATTATCATTATTGTGTGACGGTTCACTTAACACAGTGGCAAAACTACATCTTCCACTGCCAAGTACTATAAAACAATATATCATCAGAGCTACTCTTGTCCTTCTGAATACCAACTCAAAACATAGGGAACGAGTGAATAAAAATTTACATTGCTTAAACATGAAAATCATTAAAAAGGTTGAAGTTTACGTAAAAGCTTTTGAAATGCTATTTGGCATAACATTTTTTAGAGTAAGCTATTGCTATTTCTGAAAAAGGCGGCTGCTGCATGATAGCATCAGGCTGAAAAGTAGATGTAAAATCACATTATTTGACAAAAATTTATAATAACAATAATTTGTAGACTTCTATCGAGCCTATACCCTCCCAATTGGGCTCTCTGTGCTTTACATCGACACTGAAATCCCACAACAGTCAAGTGGATTCAAGCTCATAAAATAACAATCATATATTACTTCTACAAGTCCCAGAAACCCTCAGAAAGCCCTGCGGAAACATCACAAGACAGTCGCTGCAGTGGAACCCACAGGAAGTACGAGGCAGGGGTAGGCCACAGGAAAATGGAGATGTGCGGAAAGGGACATGAAAAAGATGAAGCTGACTTGAAACGAGCCTGGAAGGATGGCCCAGGACAGAGATCAATGGAAAGAGCTTGTATGTGGCCTATACCCTGCCAGGGCTGAAAGGCATTGATAGCAAGTCCCAGGAAACTTTTCTCAGCTGCAGATTCTACCTCTTCTTTTATTGTTAATGTTTAACACTCCAACTGATACAACTGTTAAAGAGAAAAGTGGTCATCTTAGACAGGAGGTTCTCTTGGACCATGTCATTATAACAGATAGAAGAAACACACGGGAGAAAGTGGGAAGTGGTCATTAGTATAGGTGATTATTTTGGACAGGTGTTCTTTGAGCAGGTTCGACTGTATGATCTCCTTTATTGCATCATTTTAGAAAAATCATTATTCAACTCCTGTATTGATAGGAACAAACACTTTACTGATCTGTTCCTTGCCCTGTATCACTCACCCCGCCGTGCCGTTCATGCTGGCGGCCTGGCGTAGCAGCGACACCCACGAGGCAAACTCAGAGGAATCTTCTGTGGCAAAATACAGAGTCTTTGTGTTCTCGTGCTCAACCTGTCGGGTGGGAGGACAAAAAAAAAAGTTGTTGAATAATCAAATAGCGAGCAGGACATTGACACAATAGCAATCGACCAGTACGGGGAAAAAGGAAGACCACAAACAAAGAACAAACATACCTTATAGTTTGCATTCAGTAAAGACATCATTATCCATGAAATGGATTAAATTTAACAAGCTCTACATGATAGAGTGTAGTTTGTAGTTTAAAACTCATTTCTGACAGAAAAAGACTCAGCATCTACATAGAAAGAATGGCGACCAATCTGACAGATCTAAAAATAAAGCCATTCTCTTGCATGATACAGACACGAGATGTCATGAAGATCATGAAAGACTTTTGGAACACAGTTCATTTAATAACTTTCCCTGATACTCTTCATTCCAATTTTTTAAATATCCCTCCTTACCCCACCTCTACCCTATTACTCACAATTTCTTCAACCAATTCAATTTTAAAAAATAGAGAAACCTCCCTACACTCCCTTCCTACTACCTCCTACTCCCTACTCCCACTTCCTCCTACACTCTTCATTCCATAAAAATTTCTAAAAATCCCTCCCTCCCCGTCACCCCTTGTTTCATCATAAAACCCCTCCCAAGAGCAATCCAGAAGACATGTTCTTCATTCCATACAAATTTCTGAAAATGCCTCCCTCCCCCTCACTCCCTCTCTCACCATAAGACCCCTTCCATGGACAAACCAAAAGACAAATTCTCGAAACAGGAAATGACCTTAAAGACAAAGTTCCGCTTGATCCCGTCCTCCTGTGTGCAAGGGTTGATGCGATAACTGGGCAGAAGGATGGAGGTCAGGGCTTGAGACTCCCCGTCCGCTGAAACAAACGAGGAACACACTTAAATACACAGTACATGTATCCTAACGTCAGAAAATCAACTCATTCAACGGGCACATACATACAAACATACAAAGTATCATTATGTCATAATGTGTCATTTAACTGTCCCTTAAACACAGAGTATCATAATGTCATGAGTGTCATAAAACCAACCCTTACACACAGAGAATCATTATGTTATATGAGTTACTCAACTGACCCTTTGGTATCAAGTTTCATTGCAGCATACAATGTATTCACTACTAACCTTTGAGTACAGAGTTTCATTGCAGCATACAACATACTCATTGACCTTTGAGTACAGAGTTTCATTACAGTATACAACGTATTCACATGACCTTCAAATACCAGTATCATGATGTCACACGTTTAAGTCATTCAACTGACCCCGATGTAAAGAGTACCATTATGTCATAATTAAGACCAACTTTTTCAAATGACCCTGACATTCACATGTATTATTTTCTCATGTGAATAACTCATTTAACTGATCAGGAACAGCCTGGAGTGCACTGCATCATTATGTCATACAACCAACTCATTCAGATGATCAAAATGGAGACAAAGCAAAACAACACTTTGGTACTTTTCAAAAGCTGACTACTGCTTACTAAATGATGGCATCTGGAATTAAGAGCTGTATTCTGTATTCTAAGAAATTTCTACTTCACAGCTTACCAAAACTTAAACGAAATTTTTTTTTGTTAATTCCTGAAGATGACCACTTAGTGACCAACACTGTTTGCTACCTTGCATTATTTCCCAACCCTGGAGGCAAACAACATACTTGTACACTATTATTTCTAATGGTGCAACATCAAAGATAAGCAAGATTTCTCCATCTATATGATAATATATATTTTCTATTCTGGTGGCACTGACCTTTGCATCACCTTTTAGAAGAAACCACACTTAGGACCACAAAATTTAAATGAAGGGAGCATCCAATATTTTCAAGAACATGACAGAGCCAGATACTCATGATTTTGGACATAAAAGAGTTGATAAAATTGAAGATTTCAATTGCTATGTATCATAACATAATATTCCAGAATTGAGCCACTGATTTCTTATTCCACTTTTTTAAAATGTGAGTGTCTGCTGTTCAATTCAAAGGTGCACAGATGACAGAATATGGAAAGCCCAACAAAATATTGGTAATGCTGCACAGAGCGGTAGCCGGGTCTCCCATTAGCAATACTGCATCCTATTCTCACAGCTCTATAAACTGGTTGTAGCATGAGTAACCATTAACCTACAACCTCCTGGCCAAACATGTAGGGCACGACTTTTACGACTCCAATTGAAGGTTGCACGAGCTGTGAACCACTCAGACCATCCATAAATGTCAAGATGCACTCTTCCAGTTGCAATAACAATCTCCCCTCCTCCCCCCTCCCCCTTCTTTTTTTTTTAAAATTTCCTCCACCACCCATTTTCCAAACTCATATGATGTGACAGTTATTCTTACTTAAAACACTACAAGTGTTACTAAATATAGTGTAAATATTCATTAATATTCAGATATAAAAGCAATAAACAGTGTTTCATATAAAACACAAAAACAACAATGATAACCACTGACTTCGTTTTCATAAATGAGAAAGATTTTTTGTTTAAAGTAATCTGCAAATCAGTCCCTATTCGTCATTTTAAAAGGTTCCCACTAAGAACCATCTGTTTTTAACAATAACAACCAGTTGGTAAACAATGCAGTTAGTCACGACTCCCATAAAGAACAAGAGTAAGAACCGACTGTGACTGGTGAGTGAGAGCACTAATGTGGTCAGCCACTTTCATTTCTTTTCAAGTGGTATTATTTGTATTGTTCTTACCTACTAACTTAAAACTAGCTTCTTCCTGAGCCAACATTTGAGTCCCCAAAAGGGACATTCTAGAGCTTGAATTATTCTTGGAGTTTTCAAGGCTCTCCACCCACTTGGTTCAATCCTACTGGAAATTGAGGTTGAAATTGAAGGTCCCGCCTCTTAAACAACCTGACAGTGTTGCAAAGGATGCATACAATCACACTTACAACTCAGCAAAGACCAACTATAGCTTACAATAAGACTTATTTCCTTCCGGTGATATTTTATTTAGAAGTAAAACTTACTAAAGAACAAATAATCTAGACAGAAACAGTGGACATAAGGGTACACCAGTCATGCATGCAGGCCACTTACTTTTATAAAGAAAAAGAGCAAAGTCGGCCAAAACGCACCAGCGCTGCTTCCAAGCTTTAGATTTTGACAAACCACTGCTTTCCTGAGGATAAAGGTCAAAAAGAAATTATGCATGTAGAATTCTGAAGAACCATTTCAAAAATAAGCTGTAATGTGCAAGTTGCATTTTACAGTCCTGTTACACTTTCAAAAGAGGCTTACATACAAAGAAGTGATATCATGGCATCTGTGGTGAAATGGTTTGAGTCTTCACCATTGTAGGAAGTAGAAGTGAGGTTGATTCGTGCGTAGGGAAGTGAATAGAGACCCAACATTTAAATGATGACAGCATGCGTTTAAGAAGCAGCAATACTGTATGTCCCTGAAGAATCAAAATGGTGCACTATAAAAGAACGAGATGGCCATGGGAGTTACTGTGGAGACTTCAGGGGGATGAATACGTTACTGTAAACAAAAACTTCAATTTTCTGTGAATTATTGGGGAACATGGTACGTTAGAGAAACTTCCAACCAGAAACTGTCAAAAAGTATAATTTTTGTAAATGTAGAAACTTTACGCCCCCATCAATACTATTCCTGCAAGTGGTTGAATGATGCATCTCATGCGACATGTACATTTTGTCAGCTTACTTCTCTTTTCATATTCAATTTTAGTGAGAGTAATATATAATTAAAATTTCTATGTATACCTGCATGTGTTTTTACGGTCCTGTACAGCCAAGAAAAATCTCCCTGTGGGATAATAAAGTATTATCTTATCTTATTTTATCTTATCTTATGGGACAGGCTGCTTCGAAGCTGCCAGTCAGGGCCAACCTGGGCTGGGAGGGAAACGACATCTCAGGAGAAAGATGGAAAAATGCACAATAAAACTTCTCTGAATACAGGAATCGAATTTATACCCACTGCATGAAATTGCAAAATGCGTGACCACAACATAAGAATTTAGATGCCAAACCAGAAACTGTCAGAACTACTATCAACCAGGGTTTTCTCACACATACCAAGCGGTGCAGCCAGCCTCTCTTGACCACCTGGGAGTCAGGGTTTCGCTTTGCAGACGGGGCCTTTACACTTCTGTCAGAGACCCCAAAAAAAGCATGATTTTATGATTTTCAGGAAGAATTTTACGTATCGCAGAGATTTTTTTAAACAATAACAAAATACAAAGGTACTAGTTCTAACTTTCCTCTGAAGAGCTTGTACCCCCACTTGCCGATGCATATATGTGAGGTAGCGTGGTAAAATCAGGCGCTCGTCAAAATAATGAAATCAAAGGAACAGGCATTTTTCCGTCAGTTGATCAAATTTTATTGAATTTTTATATTTTGACTCAACACCTTTTATGTCAGTATAAAAACACATTTCCATGTGAATTTTGATGAAAACCATTGATTAAAGGCACAAAATATGTAATTTTTTAGTTTTCAAGGACTCTCAAGCTATTGAAATTACCAAACTTTGGGAGTCATTTTCTCACTAATTTACTACAGAAACCTGGCGACCCCACCTTGTTCAACAGCAAAAATCTCGACTTCTTTTCAAGATAGCTGAGTATTTTTTTCATTGAAAGCAAGGCAAATTTACAAACTTTCAGATGTTAACAAAAACTCCTCATGCACAAAAATTGACGAGCGCCTGATTCCACCGTGTCGTGACACATGTATTCAAAACATACAAAATCGCACATCCCAAGCAAAACAATTGCAATTCAAAATGATCAATAAGAAGCACATCAACACTGTAACAGACAGTGCATGGAAAAAGCAAGACGAACAGACAGACAGCAAGAACAACAAAGAGAAAGAAAATGAGTAGGACCAACGAGTGACACCCTCCTACAACCCACCTGTCAATTCAAACAAGCAGAGGAATACCTTGTCCTGTTCAGAGGTACAGGTGATGTGCATGCATTCCAGTGACTACCCACCAAAAACACTGTTGTACTCAACATTGCTTGCTATTTTTGCCAACTCTATTTGGTTCCACGCTTTTACTTGGGCCTCACAGATTGTTATGCATTTAAGAGGCAGGACCTCCAAATTAACCATCCATCTCTGATATAAAAGAGCCAAGTAGGCAGAGAGCCATGAAAACTTCCAATACAACCCAAGTTCAACAACACCTCACTGATGCATGCCAGTTTGTCACAGGTCCAGTTTGTCACAGACCTCGACTATGCCCTGCATGATGGAAGTTATCACTGACACTCTCAAAAAGAGTAAATAAATGATTGACTGATTGTATGAATTGAATTTTATTTTTCAATTGTTTTTAACGTAAGCATTCATTATTGAAATTTTACAGAGTAAATTGATTTTCTTTGATTAGCATACAAAAAGAAAGAATAAATATTGAACAACACTAACCTAAATTGACATTTTAGAGGGACTATCTCAATACCACCACTTTGAAGGTAGAGAGTAAAAAACTTAATTACAACCACAGTGTTAAAGGGCGGTAATTATGACTGTCATCTATACTCAAATACTTAATGTGACAAACTGGGCCTGTGACAAAGTGGGCAGCCTCCTGCCTCACTAGGAATTGGAACCATGGTCATTCGCACATTAGTACTGAATGATTCCAACTGAACAAAGTAAGGGCACCAGGCCTCACCTCTGCTTGGCTGAGCCCCTCTTAAAGTTGTCTCTGCTGAGTGTGGAGTTCTGTGGAGAGCTGGGGGAACTGGGGCTCTGGGGGCCAGTGCTGAGGGGAGGGGGGGAGGGACGGGGACAAAATAGTTCTGAGTGAGCTAGAGGGAATCATCATTCATTCATTTGTTTGTTCGTGCGTTTGTGTGTGTGTTTGTTTGAGTGTTTGTTTGTTTGTGTGTTAGCTTGCTTGTTTGCTAGATTGATTGTTTAGGGATACAGAGATACAACGATGCAATAATAATCATTTAATCCAACAAAAAAATATGACGATAGACAGAAACAAGGAGGAGGAGGAGGAGGAGGA